TGTGCACGCGCATGTGAACATTTCACGTCCGCTTCAACAGCTTGGTGGCCTATCTTAGCACCTGGGGACACAACCTCAACCTCCTACACAGGACCTTTCGCTTTACGGAGGAATGGGCTCTTTGGTTACAGCGTTACAAGCACGCAAGCAGGACAACCTTTCAGGGTATGTATGTATATATGTATGTATGTATGTCCAACCTGTCGGAAGGCTGGCTACCCTCTTGCCAAAGCATTTTGGAAGTTGGACTAGTTTCAGCTCCACAATCCAGTGTGTCGTTACTATAATAATTATCGCTTTCATGGCTGAGGTTGTTGGTACGTCTGTTGGCCCTGGGGTCCCAGTACCCAGTTGCCGAGGCTGGTTGGTAAAATAACTCCAATTTCACTTCAAGGTACCAGTGCCTCTAGTGTCTGCTTTGATCAAAGCAGCGTGCTGTCTATACTGGTAAGCCCAGCAAGTGTAGGGTGTGCATAGGTAACTGTCTTGGCCGTCCTATTCCGATGTTAACCGCCCGATATTCCCGTCACTAAATTTTCTCGATTTCTTAGAACCAGCGAGTTTGCGATGGCAAAAGTTCGCGAAGCACAGGGGTCACCTGCGTACACCCACTGTTGAAGCTTGATTTCACGCTGATTAATATTCGCGTTACGCTCTTCTCGCGAAAATAGCTAACATTAATCCGTCGCGAATATTAGGCAGTGTACAGTACTCCAACGCATATGGCCGATTGGTTTGCAGGCCTGCCTGCGAATCATGAGGTCCCGAGTTCAAGACCCGCGCTGGTAGCAGGGAGCGTGTAAAAAGTCTTTTTTACGCGTGTTGAACTGCGCCGACACCCACGGTCAACTGGGTACTCACAGCTCGGAGTGAGAATAACAAGGATGCAGTTTACAGGGTTATGGGCCGTTACACGCCAGATTGGTTGAGAGACTAACCTCCTCTCCTCTCCCCTGACTCACTTGTGAGGTCTGCATTCGACACTAAAGTGAACAGGCATAGTGGCGGATCCCGCGAATATTATTATTATATTATTACAGTGCTCCGTGTGGTGTAGACCAGGTGTGCATTTGGGGGTCGATTCACATGGCTTCGCCAGTTGTGTGGAGTAGACAGATATCTGGCGCTTGTCTGGATCTGTTTCAATCAGAATCAGATCTGCTATCTGTTATGTCTGGCGCTTAGCCTACTTAGGGCTAGGGACTTCAATCGAAAACCAAATTCGCGAGTTTTGCATAAAACGCTAGTTTTTCTAAACCGGGAAGATGTGAGAAACAACCTGTGAAAATTTGAACCCAAAATTTGAACCCAAAATTCCAAGGCAATCTAGAGTTATAGTCAATTGAAGATCGGAAAACGGGGGAGAAAGTAGTCACAGAAGTAAATACAAGTATGTATGTGAGCCGTGTGGTTTCCGTCCAGCACTGCACTATCCGGTGCATACATGGCGATACAGGATGTGTGCATGCATGCAGTGTGCACGCATGCTGTGCGCGCCTACTTGCACAAGTCACACGTTTTCGCCGTCACTGCTTCTACAGTGTGCGCGCAGTTCCTTCGATTTTTTCGTCTACCACCAGGAAATCGCCATGGGCTGGTTTCTGTGATCATTTCCCTTCTACCGCGATAAAGCGCGAGCCTCAATGTTCTAGAATCCTCTCGGTTTAGGCTGATTCGAGGCCGCTGAACACGAAAATCGGGTGTTTCTCGCGGGGCCGAGTACGGATCTGGTCGAAATTAGTATATCGAAGTGCATCCGCGCCAAGTGCGGAGGCATTATTTTTGGAAGAATGGCATGTGGGGCACCATTGGAAAGGTAATGACCTCAGCTACCTAAAAATAGCATCGACAAGGCCGAAAAGGCCGCGGGAGAAGATACTTGGGCCTCGAACTGCATCTCGAACTGTAGCCACGAGGCGTCCATTCACTTTGTACAGGCGAGCTGTGACTGCACTTTTCGCTTTTTTGCGACTGGAACTGAACTCCCTACCCTAAGGGCCCACACACAGCATCACACAGGTTCGTATGGTTCTTCCAATAATGAAGGAACTGAAGGACAAGGAAAAGAGAACTCACATTATCAGACGTCCAGTCCAGCACAGCAAGCATGCAAAACAGCCCTCGAACCCAGGCACGCATGCGCCTTATCAAATCTATGTATACAGCAATCGCCCCCCAAGAATTTTTCCCGGGGCAAAATTATAACATAAGCAAAGAGGCAGTCTAATTTGGCGCTGACAAATATAGAGGTAGCTGTTGAAACTACAACGGCCAGATAATACAAAAGCAACAAAAACCCAACAACTTTGTGATTGCATGTGTGCGTGTGTGCGCATGTATGTGTGTGTGTGTGTGTGTGTGTGTGTGTGTGTGCGTGTGCGTGTGCGTGTGTGCGTGTGTGCGTGTGTGCGTGTGTGCGTGTGTGCGTGTGTGCGTGTGTGCGTGTGTGTGTGTGTGTGTGTGTGTGTGTGTGTGTGTGTGTGTGTGTGTGTGTGAAAAAAAGACCAAAAAGTAGAGAATCACTGGCCTGAAAAAGCCACTTCATAGCTGTGTGGTGTAGACCAGGCTGAATAGTGGCGGTCAATTCCTCGACCCTGCAAGCTGTTGAATGCTGAAATCCCAGCACAAGTTGCTATGGCTTCTGCTGTAGCATCGCTATCATCGCCTCCGCCGATGGGCGTCAAATGGTAAAATGGTGTGTGTGCATACATGTGTGTGTGTGTCACGGCTGTCCCATGCATGCGACGCGCGTTCATTCAATGTGGCGGCCAAATTTTAATCTTTTTCATTTTTTACGCGACCTGGCCTAGTCGTATGTTTGCAATTTCGCTCGACTTCATCTCAAACGGGCAAGGTCAACCGAAACCACGGGTGTTTGCCAGGTCATTCGATAGAGTTTAGAGCTTGGACTGGCCTTGCGTTCGACTGTGCCGCTGCTCGAGCGATCTTCTTGGGTTACCCACGCGCTACGCATGGTTTCTTTCTCGACGTGGGTGCAATTATTTTTGGATCGTCGCTCGATTTCAAGGGCTCACCAACCTCGTCAGCGAATTTTCTCCGCCTCGCAGACAATTTTCTAGTGTACCTCGATGTCCTAGCCTTTCGATTTCGTGTATTCCTAAGCTTGACGTGCATCACTGTAGCTTTTCGTGGCCATGTTAGATACGTTATTTTGTTCAGAAATGGAGGCTCATGTTAGCTTCCTGTCGTCGTGTTGTCGTATTGGAGGGGAGAAATTCGCGTCAAGAAGTGGACGGACGAAGTATCGTGTGGCAGATCATACTCAATCCATTTTGGCAGTGTTTCATCTCAATGTGGATGAAACCAAATACACCCTGAACTTTTTTGCCACATTTGCAAATTGGCCATGGAATGCACTGCTACTGCCAGGGGCCCAACATTCTCTGGAGCTCCAGAGGTGGATGTACACCGCTCAAAGACTGGGAGCCACACAATGGGACAAACTGTTTGAAATGCAAGTCTTCCAAGCCTGGCAGGAAGTCCAAATGCAAAACACAAACGCAAGACAAACTTGCGGCATGGGAGAAAACGCGGGCCATCGCCCGCAAGCACGAGCACATGCACGCCGCCACCACTGACAGCAGCATCACCAACAAAACCTCGCCCCACCACACCAGTACCTGATCACTGGATAGTTTAGTCTGTTCGGTTTACGAATTCAAAAAAGGAAGACAAAATAACAAAACTAAAAACACGAGCGTCGCATGGACCGAATCTGATGAGCAGCAGCACGTCACACCCGCATACCAAGTTTAGTAATAGTAATAGTAGTGTAGTATTTATTCATATTTCTCTAGGGCTTAGTGGGTAAATCTCTGCATCCAGAACAGTTCAGATAGGAATGCAATAACACACGCACAATGTCCACTATGTCACAGTGTCACAGGTAGGGAGAGAAGTGTTTGCAGCTTGCTGGGAGACGTTCAGCCGTGCATGCATTGGCAAATGGCTAGAGCAGACGGCCCGCTGCCCTTAATGTAAGGCACACACGCAAGCGTCAGAGCTACAGCAGCCAAACAGCATAGTTTATGGATTCATGAAAGACTGCACCATACACTGCGCCAACTCTGGTAGGGTGCCCTATTTGAGCATCGTCACTGGTCGGTGACGTTTTGCAGGCCTCACCATCAAAGATGCGAGGTGATGCTGCTGATCGACTTGCTGGCATGATAGTCACAAGCATAACTAACGAAGGATGGCTGGAAGTCGAAATCAGCTGTAGATGTAGATTCCAGGTATACCAGAGAATTACTGACGCCAGCACTTTATCCGATGCCCCATCAGCGTAAACTGTACGCCGATGGTCACAGGACCGTGACAGCCTTTCGATCGGAGACGGGGCTGCAAGCCCAAAGCAGCGGGTATATAGTGTTCGTCACCAGCTGAGCAAGAGAGCTTGCTGAGAGATTTAGGTGTGCACTGTTCAGCAACCAGTCCCAATATAGGTTTGTCCATGAAGGCTGGTGATCCTCAGCTATCATACAACAAATTCCTACTCACTGCGCATATGCGCAAATGGCTTGTGAAACAGCAGCAGAAACTGCACTGCCTTGACAAACGCACCAGTTACCATGATGGAGCAGATATGCCCAGCCCTGGAAGCCAACACCAAATCTCCAATCGCTAGTACAGTCGTCCCTCTCTAATCCGGCACTTTATAATCCAGCACCCTCGATAAACCAGCACAATTTTCAGTAGCCAAAATGTCCTCTTCATGCACATTGCAGCAGTAAATCAGATTTGTTAATCCAGCACCCTCCCTAATCCAGCAGATTTTCGTGGCACAAATGGTGCCGGATTATAGAGGGACCACTGTACAAGTAGCTCTTCACTAAATCATGCCTAGTGCATGCTTGCAGTGATATTTTCAGCAAGAGCGCTGCAGTTACTGCTGAGGTGATATATTGCGTCCTTGAAGTCGCAGGCGCTCATCAAAGATTTCTTGCCATCAATTCTTGGCCTTATGCAGGCACGAGGTGGTCTCCCGTGGCATTGGCCATATTACCCCGAGCTGCACTTGCTCGAGGAGCACGTTGTTTCGCTCATGGAAGTCCTTCGTGTTGGACTGAGTAGGCTTGCTGAGAGAACAGAGCGCTGAATCCATCCACGTCCACAACTACGAATAATTTACAAAAACATTCCCACTGCAGATCAGCGCTTGAAAACGGCGATGCAAATCAGCGACGTTGGGCTTCCCCATTCAAAAGGAGAGCCTTCCTAACGAAGCAATTCTCATGTGACACTACATAGTCTCTCAAGCACTCTAGTTCAGGTCTTCTTCTCTCCACTCCATTATCATTTCGATCTTCACTCGGTCGACGTGATGGTAGTAGCTATGTAAATAATTATGATGGATTCCTCCCGATCCTCGTCGCGGCTAAAATTTGTTCGGTGTTTGTCTAAATTCTCAAACTGACAGGGTTTACAAGAGAAATGTACCTAATTTTGTGCGATTGATGCGAATAAATCGGAATATGTCCGACTACATAAATCCGTGCGGTAAACCGCGTGAAAGGACGCCATGTCATTAGTTGGTGCACATGAAGTCACCGTGGTGTGTGTGTGTGTGTGTGTGTGTGTATGGGTGTGTGTGTGCGTATGTGTGTATGCGTGTATGTGTATGTGTGTGTATTGTGTTTCTGTGCACACAGGTGTATGTGTGTGTACGATTGTATGTGTGCGTGTATGTGTTACGAATTTGTATTACGACTATGATTTACGCATGTCGTTGTATTTGGTTCTTGTCTTGTGGAGTCCAGTGTCTGATGTCATATATGGTCTAGGTGTACGCGCGAGTATGGTGTGATGTGTGACGTTTATGGTATGTGGTGCATGCAAGAGTACGCGTTGTCAGAGTGTGAGGATGTGCTTCCGTCTGTGTGAGAGTGACTGTCAAGTGAATGCTGGACATGCGCAGTGCTAGTTTGGTCTGGGAATGAGAGTCATGTGTGATTTTGTCCGTGGTCTGGTTGTCTTGGCCTTGGTCATGTGTTCTGTACGTATTAGTCCCTGATTGGTCGTTTCGATGTGTTCGCCCTTTTCTCTGTTTTATAACTGTTGGTTGTTTATTATTTCTTTGTCTTTTCTCCCCCGTTCTCCCGCCCACCAGTTAGTTATTTATTCCAAGAGATCTTATTCAAGAAACTGTGTCGTCCTCTTGCCCGCGTGGATGAGTCGGAGAGTGGTTGTGTGGCGGGGAGCGGGGGGAAATTCCCTTACATATGTGTGCATGTAACAGTTATGTGCGTGCTCCGTGCGTGCTCCGTGCGTGCTCCGTGCGTGCTCCGTGCGTGCTCCGTGCGTGCTCCGTGCGTGCTCCGTGCGTGCTCCGTGCGTGCTCCGTGCGTGCTCCGTGCGTGCTCCGTGCGTGGATGCATGCGGACACGTGTTTGCACGCGGTCTTATCTCCTCTGCTTGCTCATGTGTGTTGTGTGCTCACGTGTGTGTGTCCACTGTTCAGGCTTGCGGTCCAACCAACCCTGGTGTCCAGTACATTTTTGACCCGCAGGCCCTTTCTAGCATCGTGAGTGCAGTGTCTCGCGTTAAAACTCACTGGTGTACCGTACCCCATATGCCTGTTTGTTGTACGACTTTAAATAAATCCAACCAACCAACCAACCCCTGCCACCTTTGTTGGTTTCAGGGCTCGTGTACTTTCTATTTGAAGTAGGCATACCTACTGTAAAAGCTATACATATAACGAAGTGCTAACTCCAAGGGCCTGTCCACACTAGGTAATAAAAACGGCGTGCCGTTTCAGAGTACGTGACGTACACGCGGTGCTCTGTCCACACTTGGCTCTGTCACCATGGTACCACTATGGGTACCTGCTCATTTTTGTCCGTCGGTACACTATGGGCAGTATTGCGCAAGTGACGATTACAAGGTTTGTAGCGTGTAGACCAGGCAAGCACTCTCTGGCTTGGTCTAGACCTACCCAGCTAGCTACGAAAACGAGCGGCGGCCCAGCGATGGCAGTACTGACGCCGAGCTCAAGGAACATCACCCTGAACTCTGTTCCAGGTACGGAACACACTCTCGCGGCAGCGCAGCGTCAAGGTCGAGGCCCGCTATAGCATCGCTTGATGAACTAGTGGTGGTGGCCGCCGTGTATTTCCAGTAAAAGTCCCAGGCTTTGGCCTTCAGGTCGTCAATTTTGTTCATCACAACTGAACAGGGTTCTACTTCCTATCCAAACAGTTTCAAATACTCACTCGTCAGTGAATTATCTCTCTCTTTCTCTCTCTACTACACCTTCCTCTTCACCAGACCCCGGGATTTCTCTGCATGTCCAGCCACGACTGTATCAATGTCGCCTCAGAGTCGTAGCTGAAACGGACGTGTGGCATTATGAAAACTCCAAAGCAAAAACAAGCTGCAGCAGCTGGAAACAGCAAGAAAAAATGCGATTCGAAAACTCCACCGATCGACTCTCACACAACGAACACTGCGAAAACGGCACGTAGATGAGAAACGTGCTTTTACAGGGGTCCTCGACTCACGTTCCGCGTGAATCCCACGTTCCCTGTTATCGGCCATTTTTCGTCACTCACCTTGGCAACAAGCATGTTTACGGCGTGTTTACGTGGTTTTCTACCTAGTCTGGACAGGCCCTAGGCTAAGGAGTTAACGAGGAGAAATCTGTCGTTAAAATAAAAATCGTTATACAGAAATCGATACATAATCTGTTGAGCGTTAAGAATGCGTGAGTATCGTTACCTTTGGTTCACGTAAACCAGTCAATTTTAGGAAATCGTTATAACATGCGCCTCGTTAGAACGAGAGAGCTTGGAAGCTCAGGGCCCTACGCTATGCTTTTTTTGCAAAAAAAAGCATAGAGATGTTATAAATTTTTCATTTCTCCTATTTTTTTCAAGACATAACCTGGGATTCGAACCCGCATTATCGCCCTGCATGCATCCCCCGATACACTTCGCATACATACTAATTCTTCCAAGTTGCTTCACGTTATGATCTTGCATTTGAAAGCCCTATTTGAATATTGTGGCCAGCTGTTTGTGGCCAGCCGTCTTTTTGATGGTACGGTACGGTACGGGACAGGTATGGTCGATGGTAATACGACAACGTCTACCACCTTGATGACCTAGGCAAAAAAAGCATAGGGATGTTATAAATTTTTCAATTCTCCTATTTTTTCTTTCAAGGCATAACCTGGGATTCGAACCTGCACAATCGCCCTACATGCATTACCCGATACACTTCGCATTCATACTCATTCTTCCAAGTTGCTTCACGTTATGATCTTGCATTTCAAGGGCGTCGGAACCGCACCGGCCCGGGCGGCCATGGCCGCCCCACTTTTTCGCCTTTTTTTTTTTTTAGCACACTGCAACAAAGCGCGATGATCTCAGCGCAAACGTGGCAAATCCTTGTCCCCAATCGTGGTTTGTTGCAGAATCAAAAGTCCATGTACACTGAAATGGCACCAAATGCCTGGGAATGCTTGCAATTGGCTTCAATTTTTGAATTTTTTTCCCGGGGGAGGGTAATGTTTGTCTCCGATCGTAGCATCTTCTTGGTTTTTTGCAGAATCAAAAAGTCTTTCATTGTAGTTACCGTACACTGAAATAGCACCAAATGCCCGGAAATGCTTGCAATTGGCTTTAATTTTTGAATTTTTTTCCTTGGGGAGGACCCCCGGACCCCCCTTCCATGGCCGCCCACCTCCTTAGTCGTTCCGACGCGCCTGCATTTGAGAGCCCTATTTGAATATTGTGGCCAGCTGTTTGTGGCCAGCTGTTTGTGGCCAGCTGTCTTTGATGGTATGGTACGGTACGGTACGGGACAGATACGGGATAGCGCCAGGCGTGACACACACAAACAAACAAACACCAAATTAAAGCTGTGTGGACCCTGGCTAGCGCCAGACGCTACTGAAGTAACGTCTTCTGCATAGCCACGGGAATTAAAGCTGTGTGGACCCTGGCTAGCGCCATACGTTACTGAGGTAACGTCTTCTGCATAGCCACGGGAATTAAAGCTGTGTGGACCCTGGCTAGCGCCAGACGTTACTGAAGTAACGTCTTCTGCATAGCCACGGGAATTAAAGCTGTGTGGACCCTGGCTAGCGCCAGACGTTACTGAAGTAACGTCTTCTGCATAGCTACGGGAATAATGGCTTTTACAGTATAGGTTGAATCCTGATAATTCGAATATGGCTTATTTCGAACATACCGCTTAATCAGAAGTTTTTCCAGGACCGATTTCTGTCAATACGATTCTCACATAAAAAAATTCTGATAATTCGAACCTCGAACCGGACATGTTCGGTTACTAGTAATTAGAAGTTCCACTGATTCCACTTACATAGAAAATGTGTGGGATTTGTGCTGATAATTCGAAGTTAGCAAAGTGTAATTCGAAGTTCACTGTACACTGTACTGGTCAGTTCAGTTTTCATGAGCAGGCTGTGCCGGTCAGTTCAGTATCCGTGAAATCTGTGTCTAAGGTCCATAGCGCAACTATGCGTGACCATGAGAGCATTTTGATATACATATTGTGTTGTGGGTTCATGTTTGGATAATTAGAATAACCGGATAATTCTTTAATAACGAAGGTACGTGTTGGGTCGTAAGTATCCACGCAAACACACATCCAGTCAAAATAAGGCACTTGTCAAAGTATCCGAACGTTTTCGGTCCCTTCTCACGTTTTCGGTCCCTTCTCATCAAGGATTTTACAGGGAATGGCTCAAGTTGGAAAGACTAAAACTTATATAGCGTAAAGATATGAGATAACAACACTCGTGACAAGGTGGAAAATTATCAAGTTCAGAACGACACAAAACTCGAAGGAAATAATAATAGTGACAACAACATAGTGAGCAAATTAAGTTACATTGTTAACACCTCGACGAGGAGTAACACCAAACAATTGTAGCGACAACACATTTTCTTTCTGTACGCAAAGTTCAGGATCTAACTTACGGATATACAAAGCTTCTAACACAGCCAGATGCAACGCACATCTACCACGTGACAATATTGAGAACACATTATCACTGTACAACTCACGACAATTGGTACGGGCTGACGGATGTTGCTTGATTGACGAAGAGCGATTCCTAGCTCCGTTGGGTGTTGTCTCCTCCAATGTCCCGTCATCTCGCCTCTTCGCGGCATCACCGCTATCCGTCTCTTTGCTTTTCCGCGGCCTTCCACGTTTTCTGACACTAGCCGTTGTGTGCGCGATGCCCAGTGTCCTTTCAGCTACGTCTCCTCCATTGCGGATTTCTATTGAGCTTCTTACTCCAACTTGTCTGGTGTCCGATATTGAGGTTCGTTTTCGCGGTCTACCACGTTTTCGAATATTGACTGTTGTCACTTCCGTTGTCGTTGTACGTGCGCCCTCACCAGTCCGTATTTTTACTTGGCTTCGCGTAACCCTTCCCGACGCCGACAGATCCTTTGTCAATTTCGGTGGTTTACGTGTCGGTCTTTCACCATCTTTCACGCTGTTCTCAGCTGGCCCCTGCCCTACACACGCGGAGGAGGACGGGCATGCAGTCACATCTTCACGGGAGGAGGAAGATCCACCGATGGACTGGTCAGCACATTTTGGAGGACGACCACGGCGAGGACGACACTCGCGCGCATCAAGCAGAACAAAACTTAACGGCACATGTGACGAATGCGCGCGCCCAGGTGCTGAAGGGTTCTACCTACATACCGATTTTCACATTGTCGGCATTGAAAGAAATAGATAAGGTTACTTTTACTAAGGGTAGGTAGAACGTAACGTAACGTTGCGCGCATTCGGATTCGTAATAGCAATCTCCGGATTTTTGTGGGTTAGCGAGGTGAAATTCTAACGAATTCTGTCTCAAAACCGGCAAATGACTGTACATGTACATATCGCTTTGCACATAACCACTTCAAATGTTAACGATTTTTTTTCGGGGCCGTCCGTGAATATTGACCCAACCCCTCCCTTCCCTCCCCATCAGAACGTAAAAAAAAATGTTGATATAATACATGCAGAAATCGTACCGGTAAGTGTGTCACTGCTCCTATGGCCGTGTACATGTATCAATGTTTTCTGAGACGAAATTGGTCAACCCCCCTCCCACCCTATAACGAAATTATTTTGTTTTGTGAAAAAAATTTGATATTTGTGGACGACCCCAATAATAATATAATAGAATTAAATGTTCGTTAACATTACTGGTCTTGCAGTAAACCAGCCACACTAGTAGCACGGATTACCTTCACTGGGGGCAGGGGTAACTGCAGTTGGATCCCGGGACGGATACCCTGATGCCGTCAATCCTTTTCTGCACCTTGTCCTCACCCACTAACTGAAGTGTGGTGAGTGCTTAAGTGGGATCATTTTTCCAAGTCCACCCATAGTTTGGGGATTTTTAGGGGGTGTTGGCCGTTAGGCGGTTCAATAGCCAATTGAGTCATCTTTCCAAGATTCCTTTTGAGCCTCTCTCCCCTCTCCCGGGGAGACCCACGTGGCCAGTTTTGGCAGTGAGCAAGTACAAGTGTGTGTGTGTGTGTGTGTGTGTGTGTGTGTGTGTGTGTGTGTGCATGCTTGCGTGTATGTGTGTGTGTGTGTGCGTGCGTGCGTGCGTGCGTGCGTGCACGTGCGTGTATTTTGCGTGGATGCATCCAGACCGAATCGGTGTATCGCCCTGTAGGCTACTGCATAGATGCCGATGCTACTTTATCGAATTTCGGACTGACTCGCTTCTGCTGTAAGTCGCCTTGCCTCTTTCTCTACATGTTAACCCTTGGGAGTGTGCTCTCGTCGATATCGACGGGTGGTGACAGGTCCGCACTCCATCATGTACTCTACTTACCGTAACTTAGTCAAATCTCAACCGATTTTCGAAATCTCAACCGATTTTCGAAATCTCAACCGATTTTCGAAATCTCAACCGATTTTGGAAATCTTAACATCCAGCAGGTAGTGGAGCAGGCGACAACTTTCACACCAAGGTTCACCTCAAAGGTTCAAAGGTGCAATTCGAGTGACAGGAACGGGCCCAAACAAGCTGTAAGTCGTAGCCTGCGGGCACCGTGACCAGGTGACTGGTGTACGGACGAGCACGTGACCGCTTACTCAACCGTGTTCGATTGGGAATAAGGGCCGAACGCTGCACCGCAGCCTTTTTGGACCAGACCCAGTCGACTCAACGTCCAAAGGACTACACATATGGGCCAATCGCCGTCAGCCGTGCTTTTATGAGAACGAAATGGCGTTTTTAGTGACATTTTGCATACAAATCCCCATCTAGTAGGGCGCAGTCACCCAGTTTCGGTGGAAGTGGCAAGTTCGATTGGGAATAAAGGAGGACGGGAGTGTCTCAGCTTTCTCGGACCACGACCATTCGACTCGGCACCCAGAAGACTACAACTGGTGAAAATTGTAGACTAATTCCCCTACTCCGGTTCCCCACGCTGTCACGCACAGACCAGCCAACTGGAACACGCACTTAGGTGTAGAAGAAGTTAGAATACATTCATAGGAGTAAAATACCCTTGTATTGGGAGAGCAACCGAAAGAAAAACCGAACGACACCACCGGAAGACCTCGGCAATCAAAAAACCGCCACTTCCAGAGCTACAGTCCATTCAGAAAAAGATGGACTTCTAGCTTTTGGCCATAAATGGGTCAAACTTTGAGTTTTTTTAGAATTTTTTTCTGCAATCCCTTATGGAATCCTCTTCCAATTATGTTTCTGAAGTTTTTTTGTCCAAAAAGCAAGCCATGACAAGAATAGAATTTCGGCCAGGTTTTGCCCCAACAGCACTGAATTGGGAAAAACCATAAAAATCCAGGCCGTTTGACCCTGCCTGCAAACGTGCATTGTGCGGTTCGAACCCCAGTTCAGGTACCCTTTTTGGACCCTTTTTCAAATTTCAAATTTCGCAGCACTGCACTGTGTACGATGAAATCACGAAAAATCGCCAAATACGGGAGCTCGCCAGAGCCAGAGCCCATCTTTTTATGAATGGACTGTAGAGAGAAAGAAAGATGTGGCAAAAGTACGACGCCTGCGCACAAACGACCCTCTCAGCGTCGTACACTGTGTACGCTGAATACAGAGCACATTACAATACCGCGCATGGACTGCATGAAGCCTGCGCCCGCGGCGACGAGCCGCGGCCAGAACAAGGCGCAGGACGCATGCAGTCTCAAGAACAAATAAACGTGAAGTAAACTGAAATCTTCGAAGAGAACAGTTCAAACAAACGATCAAGGGAAGTCATAATAATAATAATAGAAAGAAGCAGAACAAAGATCGACAGGGTGGAGTTGCTTGGACGCAACGTAGACTTCTACAGTATCGTGTAATGCAGCAAGGAACGGAACTAATTACGTAAATGTAAGAAAACGACGTACCAACACTCGACTGTAGCAAGTCTTGAAGACGCATGCACCGCAGGGAGAGAACAATTACATTTCAAAATTTGATCTTAGGATATACTTCCCTCGTCATACTAGTCATGCGTATATGTACATGTCCCTGTAGATGCCTCCAAAAGGCTACTTTTCAATTTATTTCCCTTGCATTAAGACTTTGTAGTTCCTTTCTATTGCAATATGAAAATAAAGTACAAATTGACGTAGAGCATGAAAAGAGCTTCATTTTGATATGCATGTCATACTATACAAAATATGGGTTCACATACATTCAAATGGGACTTCGGATATAAGGACACTTCGTGAATAAGGACACTTTTCTGATGTCCCGCCAAATGTCGTTATTCGCAAAGTTGACTGTACACTGGTGTGAAGGAAGACGTAACGTTTGTGTGGCGATTCATGTTGTCCTCGTGTTGACAACTCCGTGTTCGTGCATTGTGAGGAAGGGTGTCCTGCTGTGAGCCTTGGTTATACAGTAAGACTGGGTTACGCCACCTCTGGTTTTAGCCCTTTTAGCGACCGTTTTTCCATGCACGTTTAGTACTGTTGGGGCACCTCCTCCCATACCATCTACAACCTTTCCCAAGCTGCTCTGCATGCATGCATGTTTGGCAAATGTTCTCTGATATGTCTTTCTGTATGGTCTGTGCTACACTTGTTCTTCACCAGATGATGATGGTTTCACTTCACGGCGCGCACAACCTTGTGTCGCAGGCGTATCCTCAACTGTGACGGTTAGTGGCCAGCAGTAGCATGTGTGTCCGTGTGTGTGTGCGTGCGTGCGTGCGTGCGTGGGTGTGTTTCCATGTGTGTATGTGTGTGTGTGTGTGTGTGCGTGTGTGTGTGTGTGTGTGTGTGTGTGTGTTTCCGTATGTGTATGAGCGCATGTGTGTGTGTTTCCGTGTGTATGGATGTGTCCGTGTGTGTGTATGTCCGCGCGTGTGTGTGTATGTGTGCACACATGTTTGTGGATGTCCGTGTGTGTGTGTGTGTGTGTGTGTGTGTGTGTGTGTGTGTGTGTGTGTGTGTGTGTGTTACCCTGTGGGTGTGTGGGTGTGTGTGCTTGTGTGTGTGTGTGTACGTATACTCTCTATTTGAAGTGTGCATAGCTGTTACGCATAGACTGCTTCTGGCTACATTGACTCTTGTTTAATCAGTGGTGCTAGTGAAGCATATCAGATCCACTCTGATTTAGCCACCCGCACTAGTCTGGGCATTACTCTAATTTCAGAAATTTTCGGCGCTCAATATTTTCGGTATGAGGGCAACCGGCCAGGTTAGGTGAACAGAAATTTCGGTACAGAGAAACAGTTCCCTATTGGATTATGTGTGTTAGCGTTTGTTCGGTGTATTGCAATTTTAGGTATGAAACAGACGCACCGAAAGTACCGAAAATAAAAAAGTACACTGAAAATTTGTCAACTTACAGCACACTGTGAGCATTTCCGTACTACCCCCCCCCCCCAAAATCGTACTACCCTTGTGTAAACGCCGTCACTGGGGGCAGGGGTAAATGCAGTTGGATTCCAGGACACGGATACTCTGTTGCCGAACCAAAATTATGTCCAACGAGAGAGCTTGGAAGCTCAGGGCCCCACGCTATGCTTTTTTTCGCCTAGCTCATCATGCACGTTATTAGAACTGATGGAAACGTTTTTTACTCCATTAATTGGCTACACCATTCTATTGCAAAAAACGTTTCAATCAGTTTGAATATGAGTTTCACACAGTTATTATATACACCACTGCTCAAAAACGGTCTCTTGGCTTTCTTCCGAAAATAATAAAATCCAAATTTTCGCGCCAGGCCCATCTTCAGGAATAGCAAATCCAGAACAAAGACTATGGTTATTATATCTGACAAAAACGATGAGACAAATAGCACCAAAAGAAAGCAAAGGACAGCGCAAACAAAACCAGCAGCAACAGCAGCAGCAGAAGCAGCAACAGGAGCAGTAAAAAAAAACACAGGAAGCAGGCCAGAACATGACAATCCCCCAAAACCAAGCAGTAGCATCACACCATACCCAGCAAAAGTAAACGTGTATGTACTGTTATAAAAAGCACAAACTGAACATATTTTTGGGCCTGGCCCGAAAAATTGGATTTTATTCTTTTTGGAAGAATTTGTAGCCGAGAGACCGTTTTCGAGTAGTGGTGTATAACTGTGTGAAACATGAACTGTGGCTACAGTGGAGTCCGCACACCCTCAGGAAGGTGGATATGAGTTAGGCGAAAGTAATTGTAGAATTTATTGGGTTATATCTTTACTTATAAAAAAGAGGCACCTGTGACGTGTGTCTGTGTGTGTGTGTGTCACGCTCCTTATAGAGAAGAGGCACCTGTGACGTGTGTGTTTGTGTCACGCTGCCCTGAGCACGCGAAGCGTGCGAACAGTGTAGCACAGTGTAGCTAGCTAGCGGCCGCAGAAGCACTGAGCACGCGAAGCGTGCGAATCGTGTAGCTAGCGGAAGCAGCCACAGAAGCTCAGTACTGAGCACGCGAAGCGTGCGAATCGTGTAGCCACCACCACGTGCTGAGCACGCGAAGCGTGCGAACAGTGTACGTGGTAGCAGACACGATCAGTAGATCTACGAAGTACGAGTAGCAGTAGCATGCTAGCAGCCGCGCGCAGAAGCACTGAGCACGCGAAGCGTGCGAATCATGTAGCCACCTAGCCTAGGCCTAGGCCAGGTAGCACTAGCAGCCGCACAAGCGCTGCGGACCACGTGAACCGTTCTCTGCAAATAGAAACATCTGCAACAAAAGGATACAAAAGATCTGCACTGACTGCACTCTGCATCTGATCTGCAGTGAAGAGCGCATCGCACTTTTGTTCGTAAGTATTAGTTAGTTTATGAATTTTTTGAGCAGCTTCATCCGCCACCAGGTGATGGACAACCCTGACCAGCCTCCCGAAGGCGTAACAGACGTCCCTCCTTCTCCTTCCAACGATGAAGAACCTCCCTCACCAGGACTTCAGCGGTCTGGCCACCACCACGTGCTGAGCACGTGTGCTGTTCACGTACTTGCTTCACCCGCATGCCACAAAGTCATTCGGCCAGGCAACGCTGGCCGGTGGTGCTGCTAGTAAAATTTATACAAAAGAGAAGGACCAAGGAACTACAAGTTACGCTATACTGCCCACTAACACCACCAGTTACTAAGCGATCAGCTCATGCGATAACATTGCACGACACTGACCGACGGTATCGTCATCGACATGCATGAACATCCGCCAACGTCCTTCAGAGCTGAGACTTTCAGCTCGTGCTTATCTTGGTTGCGCTCACCTTCCCCTCCTTATGTTATTTCTATAACTTAGAACCTTCCAAGTTGGAAGTCTGTTTGAGTGCGCATCCAAGATGTGCTAGAGCTGTTAGCCAGTTAGTTGTAAACGTCAGTACCGTCGGTCAGTGTCGTGCAATGTTATCGCATGAGCTGATTGTTTAGTAACTGGTGGTATTAGTGGGCAGTATAGCGTAACTTGTAGTTCCTTGGTCCTTCTCTTTTGTATAAATTAAACCTTGGCTCTCCATCTGAGTCCATTCCTGCACACCTGATGAGCCGTCTTTATATAAAATTATTGTATGATTAGCACCATATCCTTCACACACTCATACTCAGCCCAAGGGAACAAGGAAATTGTTTTGGAGATAGTGTGCTGCTTCGAGTAACTTGTCTTGTAATGCAAAAGCTCAAAGAGCTGGAAAGCAATGCCAGACCACCGGCAGCAACTGGCTCGCGAGGAGCCGCAATAAACCCACATTGTGCCACAATGGGGTTGCAAGGCAAAGCCAATGCTATTGGCTGAGTGAACGAGCGCTCATCGACCTGCTCCCGTTTCCGTACCCTGCGCTGGCTGCAGCAAGGCCTGCATTTTCGCCGATCTGCGCGTCGTTTGTGTACTGGACGCGCTTTTAGTGTGCATGAGGCAAAAAAGGAACAGCCGGGGTCACAGAGCGCGTGTGAGTGTCATGCAAATCGGAACCTAAAAAGGACTGGCCAGCGTACAGCTGGTGAGGTGCTAAGTCTACGGCTACATGATGTGGTGCGGGATCATTGTTTGCATGCATTTGTGTGGAAGTGCGTGCGTGCGAATATGAAAACGGCCTACTTGTAGAGGAAGCATTACATGTTTCAAAATTGTTTTCATGACTTTCGTGAACAAACTCATTCATGGAACTACTAACATTAGTATTACCAACAGCAGAACAAACAGGCACATAATTATTTGGTGTGTGGAGACCAGGACCTAACTGGTTGGTGCTTTCTCCAGCTCCACCTCGAGTGATTTCACTTAGCTCAGCCTCTTGTTCCGTCTTGATGATGTCAGCCATCTGCGTTGACTTGCCGGCGTCGTCCTGGGCTGCCGCCGCTGCTGCTGCTGCTGCGTTGTCGTCGTCTCCGAATCGCGTCGGTGCACGAGACAGATGGCCACTCCGTATGGTGTACATAGGTTCGCTGTGGCATCGATCCGCGACGCTCCTCAGCTCTCTGGTTGGTTCGAGTGTGGCGATGCCGGACCCTCTCCGCAGAGAATCCGGCTCGAAGGACCAATGTTTTCATGAGATCCTAGTGCCCCGTGGCACAACCCTCGTCACAGACACAAGCTCCTAATTCTCTTGTTGGTTAGAAGGTGTTCTTTATTGATCTGTCCCTGTTCTCGGGAGTTGTAAGTGATTGTAGGAAAAATAGTGTGCAAAGTGAGTCGGACATGTATGGAAAAGTGTTGTATCGTGCTCTTTACAGTGGGTGCCCAATCGGGCAAAGCACAAACGAAAAGGGTGCCGCGAGTCAGTGCTGTCATGCAGCAACAACGGGAATAAAAACTACAAGTCCTTCCTTGTTATAACGAGTCTGCATACTTTTCAAAGCGCAACCTGGCGTAACTCGGCTGTCCCTTGACCAAATCTGACAATTGAAAAGTCTATCGACATTAGAATTGTCTTAGCTATCGGCTCGAAAAACCCCGAAGGCGATCTGAGGTCGGAGAGCGGAGTTATGAGACTCGAACTAAATTCGCTCGGCAAAGTCTACTCGGGCGCGTGAATTTTGAACTCGTTTTTGGGGGTTTTCCCTGACTCGCAGTCCACGCAGACACAGATAGTTCACATCATTGTAAAGGCATGTTTCTCAGCTCTCATGTAAAAAAATGTGAGCAATCTGCGATACAATTTGTTGAAATGGCAGAGAATTTGAATTGGGCGCACGCAATGCTGGCTTTGGAGCGCCGAATCGCACTGCGGCGCTAGTTCTGTGGATCCAATGATTGTTAGCTGGCTATCGCTGTGTTCCTCTGGCCAAGAGCTTTCCAGAAAGCCCAAGATCACCAAAATTGGCCAAAGGACACCAAAGTTACGACCAAATAAGTAACTTGGCTCGCGTATGCAGTGCATTCCTTGAAATAATCGTGGGCCCTAACGGGTTAAAAAGCTGAAGAAATAATGATATTGAAAACACATGGAAACGAGTTATGAAGCAACTATCCACGACTGTAACAAGATAATAAGCGGTCAGTACGTGTAAACAGGGCACCAAAACTGACAGGCTACTGAGACATTCAGCGACCTAAGACCTAGCTCTCACACATCTCCAGTGCGCAAACCAACAACCTTCCAACTTGGAAGGTTCAAGGTTGGGTAGGACCAAAGAGGGGAAGGTGAGCGCAGCGGAAATGTGCACCAGCTAAGTCCCATGGCAACAAAGAATGCCGACTGTTACAGGACGATGACGAGACCAGTTAATAACATGACAATGCGGTCTAACTACAATTCGAAGCAGCAGAGCAACACACCACCTAACTTGGGTGGGTCAGCAATATCAGAGATAAAGGAAAGGGGAGCTTGCGAAAACGAATTGTACAAAACCGGACGCCAATATCTAACGGTGCTCCGCATGCATGACACTACCGTAAAAGTCCGTAAATAAGTACTTGAAGTACGTATTTACTTTCGAATTTAATGACCACACCCGTACCAACTTTCGGGCGAAATTGAACTTGGATAATGAGCCAGTATGAAATGTAAAATAGAAGAAGAAAACACATGGAAACGAGTTATGAAGCAACTATCCACGAATGTACTCCAGTAGCAAGATAATAAGCGGTCAGTATGTGCGAAAACAGGGCATCAAAACTGACAGGCTACTGAGACATTCAGCGACCTAAGGCCTAGCTCTGTTTTAAGTGTTCGTTTTCAGGGATGCAGTGACGAAAATATAGATGTGTTGCAACTGCTTTTTCTCCACCTGCTCCCAGTCCCGTGCCATCTCCACACTTATACAAAGGGACGACGATAACTACATTCAGGAAGTGACTGTTTATTACTTGGTCCTTGAAGGGTGATGGCGTTCCTACGGATGCGGAAAACTCGGCCTCTATAATGAAACAGAGTCTGACGCGAACCGTGAATTTTTTTTTTTTATCACAAGACGACGACGGAAACACAACTAGACTTGACGAACTCAAGACGAAGACTGCTTTTCACACCGCAGCACCACGCGCATGCACCAACATGACGTACACACGACGTACACAAAATAACGGACTACAACATAACTCCCTCCCAAGAGTAGAATCGTCC